ATCAATCTGATCAGGAACTGTAGGTGCAAATCACACAATTGGTATTCTGTGTCTTCCACACAAGCAAAAATGTGTATTTTGTTAGAAGAGAGTGGAATTTATGTGATGACTGCATACAAATAAGCATGCCCAGAAAACAGTTAAAGGGGAGAAAAATACCAATATGAAATCTAATGGGCAAATTAGGAAATTGTAGTTACAGGAATTCAGTTGCTGCTTAGTGTTTATAGGGAAGCACAAAGAGAACATCAAAATGCCTGATCACATCCCATCTGTTACTACCTCTTGCTGGATAACATCTTGGCTGCCAAAAGAGCTATTTAAATTTACTACATTGCAGCTACTGACAAATATAACTTCTGTGAAGATCTAATACTAAATAAGGACCAGACCTGAGGATAAAACTTACAAGCAGTTGTGTCAAAAAGATCCACATTTTGCTTAGTATAACACCTGTACTCCTAAAGCTTGCGGTTTCTTATTCCCTTTCCCTGCCTGTGATACGTTTTTAATAGAGCATACAACTGTACAACAATCCTCAAATCTGAATCCTGTCAACAACAGAAAGAAATAAAGCTTAGAATGGAAAGGATGGCATAAAAAAAAAGAAAAAGAAAATGTACTGGGAGGAGGTGACAGAGAAGAGGAAGGCTACTATTCAACAATTTTGGAGGTGTTTACTCTGGGCACTTTCCACATAGATCTGACAGGCACAGAATGGTGCCATGAAAATGCCTCCAGCAATGGAATACATTTTCCAGCACATCACAGCAGCTGCAATGGCATCAATTCTGCTTGCAATCCATGTCCAAACAGAAAAGTTCTCAGTGGTCCTATTTCAGCATATCTCAAGGACTAATTAAATCCTCATTACTATCTTCTAATTATTCCAGTGCTCTGGGATTTCACTGAGCAAGTCCCCAATGGTGCATTAGATGAAAAGGGTTAAATAACCTGTGTTGATTTTGAGACTCCAGTTCTATTTCAGACCTTTAGCATATCATCAGCATTATCATGAATATTTAACTACATACCGCTGTGAAAATTATAAGGGGAAAACAATTAAAGATTTTTAAAAAATTAATTCTGACCCATATACATTTGCTCTAATAAATAAGGCTTCTTTAAGTATCCCCATTATGAGAGTGCTTGCTAGAGTAATAATGTGAAGTCATTAACTATTTCCATTAAATTCAATGGTTTTCAGGAGCTCCCAAATCACTCTTTTAATATTAAACTGAAACCCAACTTGTACATATCGAACTGTATAAGCATGAAAAACAGTACTTAAAAGTAGGTAAGTTTTCTAATCTTTTTCAAAATTAGGTAAGGAAGCATTCACTTCTGCAGGGGTTAAAGTGTCTGTTTCAACATTTTTGTGACACATATTCTCCTATTATTGTTTGCACAGATGAGTATTCAGGTACATCTACAGACATCTCCATTGGGTTACAAAAGTAAGAGTGGGAGTATAAGCTGATGGCCAGGAAGGACTGCTGCAGCTTCAGGACACTGATTTAGGGGGCCAGTCTGGATATGCTGCATTTTTATTTGACCTATACAAACAACTTCTAACCCACTGAGCAGTTCTGGCTACTAAGCACATCCCTAAAGTGCAGCTTCCAAAACCCAAACAGATGAGGTAGGTAGGTACAGCTGAATACAGGGAACTCAAGCTACTATGTACCTCCATTATTTGCCAAATGGTTATGACAGCTGTGGTATCACCACAGCCCTACCTCTGGGGGCTGTTTTAACTACAGTTTATAAAACGCTTTGACTTCAATAAACACAAAATTTCAAAGCTCTACATTTTATCATGGTAAAGGAAAGTCTAGAGTAGCTATATCACGAAACAAATAGCAAAACAGACATCCCTCCTCCCCTCAAAAGCAAAGCAAGTTTCAGTGACTAGCTTAATTAGTTGTGACTATGTTTTCATGTGGTATCCCCAAGTAACTGTAATTGCTGGGACTCAGCAGCAGTTAGTGGATGTGCAGATGAGCAGCCATGGCCACCTTCTGAGTCCAGTCCTGCACAGCCTGTCCCTCTGTCTCTGGCTTTGACAGTCCATTAAGCCTCAGAACTTTTCACAGACATGTAAGCCGATACATAGATAACGTGCATACAGGTTCATGCAATTTCTTGTTGCCTAGGTAGGCAATGCATGTTGTTAGAACTGAAAAGTTTCATTGCTCGTGCATCAAACAACAGTGGCCAGGTACTGATTCTGGGATGAGAACAGAAGTGGGCTGCCTAGAACACCACAATCCATTTACACTGACCCAGGTCCAAATGTCCTACAGCTTAAGCAGGACATATAAAAATCTTCAAGTTATTTTTAAAAGGTAAGCATTTTTTATACTTATTACAAAAAGTATGAGATAAGCTATATAAGAAGCAAGCTGAAGAGCATGAGGATCCAGTCCCCCAAGAAATTCCTGTTGCTGTACATACGCACGCTAAAGCTTCCCTCCTTCTACACACAGAATGTGCATGCAAAAATATGCTCATTACTTCATGCAGAACTGTATGAAAGGGGATGTACAGTCTTAGGAGGGCAAACATAAAGATCCCAGCTGGATGCTGAGTAACCATGGAAAGCAGGGTAAAATCTAATCAAACATTTTCATAATAAAATAAAAAAGTAAACTTAATGGTTCAAGGAAGTGGTTTAGCATCCAGAAGTATTACAGTTCAGACTCCATATGTCAATCAAGCTTTGCAATATCTGGTAAATTTTTTTCCAAGTACTGAGAGCAGAGGATTCTGCTCAAGAAGCAATTAGTAGTCTTTTGTTCATTCAGTTATCTCTCTAAAGAAGGCAAGAAATGTTACACAAAGCACTAGAACAAACAACATAACTGTATCCTATGGAAGGGTCTTTGAGTCTTTTGTTTTCTTTTATTTTTTTTTGAGAAAGTGTATCAGCAAGCCGAGAGTTTAAATTACTGTAACAGATGCCTATGGATGAGGTGTCCTTAGCAGCAACGATTTTCTGCTCAGGTTTTTATCAGTAAAAGACAAGCACCTTCCCTTTGAGTCCCCATCACTCCCCTTCTTTCCTTTCTTCAAGTTCAGTGGAAACCAGTTCAAGGCAGCAAAGGAATCAACTAATGTAACAGCCTTTTTAAAAGGTGAAGTTTTCCATTTCAAAGGAGCCTCTAATCAATGACAGGGTGCAAAAGGGAATGCATGCATGTTTATGCGTGAATAGCACAGATTTTAGAGAAGCTTTGGAGAACATCTGCAAAATCAATACTAGCTAGTTACAAATTTGGTATCTGCTGCATGAAACAAAAGGACTTCTTGTACAAGCTGGGTCACCAGGATCATGCATATGACACCAGATTTTGAATATGAAGAGTGCAAAACCTGCAACATTTCCAAACACATTGTTTCTAAGGTCACACCAACAATTCTCACTCCCCTGCACAGAGGAAGAACCAGACTAAATCAATCTGTTAATTTTATTCCTCTCACTGTCATTTACTTGCTTGATTTCTCAGTTATGGTGACTGTCTTCTCTGTTTTACTTTTGAATACCCCTCTGCCTCTCCTGACCATACAACGATTCTGTTTTGTTCTAAAGCAGCAACAGAGAGGTTCAACTCTTCCAGCTCTGTCAGACCAGCCTAACTCTTCCCTCAAGGCCAGGTCAGGAACACGCACAGCAGAAATAATTCCTATTGGGCAATGTAACATTTTGCACCAAGACCCAGCTATGCCAGGAAACGTATGCATCTTTCTGAGATGCTTGGGTCTTCAAAGCCTCAATCCAATCCATCCAAGCTGCCTTGTGACATTCTACCCCTCAAAGGATCATATATTTGTATTAGGTACTGAGGTAATTCTTTTTTTGCCAAGCATGTACATTATTCTAAATTCTTTTTCAGGGGAAAATAAGTCCCTGCACTAACAATTGTGTATAAAGAATGACTGAAATCGAAAGAAAACCAACTAGTTGAGGGTGGAAATCTGTGTTTGATGTTCTCATTAATCAGCATTCCTGGAGGAGAGGACATGCAATACTGAAAAATACTTCTTTTGTGAGTCCTCTTAGTTCCTCCTGGATGCTATCCCAGAATTTTGTCATTCTGTGAGTTCAACTTGTTTCACTGTGAGAAAACTTCTAGTATTTATGGTATCCCCATATGGTGCTACTTGGAATATTTCTGGTAGCAAGACATTTTAGGAGGGGCACTTCATAAATAACTCCATGTTTATCACAGTTACCATGTGTCTGTTTTGTAAGCTTGTCACTGGCACGTTAACCACTGCATGGACAGGATGCCCAGTTTACAGCAGTTGATGGTATGTATGGGCACATAACAAAGCTGTGACAACTATTTTTCATGAGCTAGGGAGGAAGGAGAGGAAAGGAAAAGGGCTTAACATGTACAAATCACAACATTAAGGAAAAAAAAAAAAAAGCCCTGTTTATTTTTGTGAGTACTTGTTAAGAAGCATCCTCTTAGAACAGTGGTGTTGCCTGCAAGATTTTCTCTTGCAAGATTTCCAAATCCTTGGTCTAAATTGTTGATTTCCATTTATATTTAAAGATACTTTTTATTCTAGAGCTGGCCAGCGGACTAGCTATTGCCTCCATGCAAAGACTTCAGGGATGAGATCTTCAAGAACAGTAGCAAAACTGCAGTGCTTGTAGGAAGCACTATTTCTACACAACTTAATTCCAGACAGACAAGGGAAAGTTGAATTCTCTAGGACATGACTCAAGTATTTACAGCAAACTGCCTTTATACTCCGGCCATTCACTGTATTTTAAGAAAGACTTGTTTCCAATTATGTTTTGATAAAACCTGCTATTCAACTGCTCCTGCCCCAGAAAAGAAAACCCCCTGAGCCCTCTACAATGAAGACTGTCATTATTTTCACTGAGAAATGAAAAGAAATACCAGGAAATCTCACACTGCTAATATGCAACTTAAAACCAAGGCTGCATTTGGCACCAACTAGAAAAGCCCCAACACCTAACAAACCTCGGTCCTGCGGCATTGGTGACTGGCTCAAGGCAGGGTGGGAGCTGGATTCTGACTGGCTGCCAGGAGGCTGCGGTGGCATCTGACTGCCTGTAACACACAGAGAAAAAAGGGAAAACAGACTTTCTTTTAACATTGCAGTGCACAAAACCAAGCCTTGCTGCATTTTTAAACCCCTCAACATCAAAGAAAGTACCGGCTGTATAAGGTAAAAAAAGAGCTCAACAGGTATAGCTTTTTTCAGGTTGTTTTTTTTTTTGAAACCCATGGAGGAAACATGCATAAACATATTTAGCAACAGGCATGGTGAAATGTCCAATTTTGTATTGAGTGAGTTCCCAACCTCACCAACATGATCCAATTTATAGCTGCAGATCTCCTGACACATTTCTGTTGCAGAGTTTAACAAAATCCAAGTCCGCTGAACAATAGGGCTCATCCTGCTGAGCTCAAACTGGCCTCCAGCCAGGCAGACGTGGACTGCTGCCAACAATATTACCAATAAAAAATTCAGTCAATAAAAAAAATTACTAACAACAACAGTTTTAAAAGTACTTCAATGTATCAGTGGTTTTAATATTATTAGAATGTCTATGTAGAATTTGGGAAGAAAGAATAACACGTAGGTTCACGTGGTGAAAGCAAAGCATGTTTGAAAGAGATAAGACAGAAAAGGGGTAACTTACTATTCAAGTAAAGGCAAAAGGAAGATTATTAAAATACCCACCCAGAGCAGAGAGACCCATTTTTATAGTCTCATTCAAAAGACACTCAGTTTAACCACTGCTGTCTACCCACGCAAAGAAGAACAGCACTCAGTGTGGTGTGTGAGGCTTAGCACCAAAAATCTTTCCTTTCGGTATTACTGGATAGTAAAGCAGGTGCTTATTCCACTTGATGAAAGTCAATCCTCTGGGTCACCATTCAACATCGTGTCAAGCAGGGAGGTCCATGCTATCACCCTTGCACTGCCACAACACTCCAAAGGGCTTCATGCCCAACAGCCAACCTGCCACAGCCTGAACAGGAGCAAGAAGGAGATATGGATGTCCCCTGGGACTCCTCTTCACTGCTGGTCTGAGACATGCTTGCTCTTGACAGCCCAAGTGGCTTGAAGACCACCTCAGGTTAGGCAGCAACTATACACTTTAAGCATTTAGACATTGTAGTGACAAGCACAGTATAAATAGTACCAGACAGATTTATACCCCTCACCCTCAGAAACTGCTCAGATTGTCTTCCATTTGAAAGAAATGGAAAGAATAAAACCAGCCGCAATAGATTTGTGCCTGCTGAGACTCATTTCCTCTTGCTCAGCAGCCGCCCCTCCGCAGTGGCAGAAGTTAGAACGCCACGGCCAGGGAGCCCGGCTGAAGGGAGGCTGCAGGAGCTGCTCTTTCTTTAGAGCAACGAAAGGTCCCAAGTTGGAAGTAAACGGAGGAAGGCAAATGTGTCTGCTCTGCCCTGTCCAGTTCCCAGCCTCAAAGCACCTGGCTCTCAGCACTGACTCAAATAAAGGTCAGACAGATAAAGAATAAAAAGAAAATCCACAAGCTGTGGAGTGTAACCACTGCCTAGCTATTCAGAGGAGGTGCAATTTGCACTAAAGAACATGACAGTCAACATCACCAGGAGCGGCTGTGACAACTGTCTGAGAGATGCAAATGCTGGACTGGAGGCAGAATTGCTCCTCCACAAGACCAAACATGCCACTCAGCGCCCAAGGCTTTGGGATCCACGGCCCATTCACCAACTCTTAAGGCATGTGACAATAACACTCCGGCTTATGTTTTGATATCACTCAAGAGCGGGCTGTGGAGACAGTAAGTGCCTGGATTATAATGAACACTTTCTGCTTGACAGGCAGGATTCAGTGACTCAAGACTGTAAACAAACAGCAATTCCATGTTAACAGTGGGCACTGCCACTTCCACTGTGTATGCCCAAGGCACTTCTATCAGATAGAATACTTCAAGTAGATATGAACCATCTAAGATTTTTATAAATACTTGAAAAACAAAAAAATAATAGAGGCAAGGGTATGCATAGCTCCCAGTGGGACCACCCTTTAGGTGGAGGCTTGGAAAACTTTGAGATATACTAATACTGCATGGAAGATCTATGCTAGGCAACATGTTTTGAATACATGAATTCAAAGTCTTTGATTTTTTAAAACTGATAATAATTTCAGTTATCTGTCAGAAGACTTATTCTGCACATGCAGATGTGCAAGCACAGACAGGGAAAGTGGAAGCCTATATGAGTGAACGTATGATGTGTTACAGAGAAATTATTTTCATTTGCATTCTTAGGGAATAACAATGCAGGAGTTTTGCAAATTCACAAAGGTTATCAGTCTCTGTAAAAATTAATGCTATTTTATTAGTTCATATTTTTAAATTTACTTCTGATTTTTTTCTGTATTAAAAAAACTTTAAATTAAAATTTTGTTTCACATGGCAAAACAATTTTGTAAACAAGATCAACTCTACACATATTCAAACAAGTAATGAACTTGCAAGGGAAGTGCTCATTATGCTCATTATCAATGTGTGCAACAAATTATCCAGGTGCTGGACACCAAAGCATTGCACCAGGATGTTTTCAGTGGACCTGCCATTTTACCTTTATAAGTTATCTGAAAGGTAAAAGGAGGTTAAGCACCCAAACACCTTTGAAGACTTATACTGAACTCTTTAATTAGGGTATCTAACTCCTATTGATTGTTAGCTGATGACAGGACTTTAAACCTGTAAAGATCCTGTCTGCCACGCTTATAAAGTTTCTTTGTCATGAAACAAAATTACCTTAAAGATTTTCCATTTCTTTCCCTTAAATGATATTAATCCTTTTCTCTTTCAACCAGTATTGTAGTTGGGATTCTTGGAAGACACTTTAAATAATACATGAGAGACTTTTGTATTTTATTAGGGAAGGAAAACTTCTACAAAAGAAAAATAACATATTTTCCCTTAAAACAAATTCTGCAGCTAAGAGGGAAAAAAAGCCCCAACAATTTTTTTTGACTAACAGACTGCTGCCTCTGACCTAGGGATGCACAGATGGAAGTGTAAACAGGGATGACCTTCTTCCATGTTTTGTTTAGCACTGTTGCCACACTGGTGACATACCCCACCTGCCAGAACTTAAGCAAAGTTAATACTACAGATGTTTCGTGGTATTTTTATTATGCAAAATCACAGCAAATAAAATAATGCATGTTAAAAGGACAGATGCTGTCACACTAGTTCTTTCACCCAGATTTAACAGAGGAGTAAAATGGTATTGAATTTATACAGTTATATTTTAAGATCAGTTGTTAAAATTATTATAACCAGCAGCCTACCTAATATAATGCTTGCTATTTTTTAGAAAACGTGAACTAAGTTGAAAAGGTAAGAAAATTTAAGAATGCTTAATAGCACAGCTGTATGCTGGTTTATCATTTTTTAAATTATCTTAGAAATGCTTTTAAACATTTTGTATGAGACTTTAAAAATCTGTACTTGAAACAGTCATGAGAGTCTGCACTGCACGTTTAGAAAAGATGGACTGAGAAAAGCACTAAATGGCAATTGCATGATGACTACAGCCACGAAATCTGCAGTTGGAGCGTAAAAAGTAAATTCCTTAGAGCCAAAATAGCACAAAAGAGCAGAACTTTGGTATCCTGCTGGGGAGGGGTCCTTATGAGTTACAGCCCAAATCAGTAATGTTTTGAAACATGCTGAGGGCTCTCTGTTCCCATCACTGTAATGACACTGGAGGATGCTCAGCAGCGGTACCTGGTACCAGTTGGACACCACCTCACTGAATTGTGCCTGAACAATTGAATCAAGAAAGCACTTCAGTGATAACAGGTTCCCCCAGGGAAATTACTAGTTAAGGAGGGAAAGA